CACCTTTATACGCTAGCTCTATCCCTTCAAAATCAATAAGCAAGCTGCTACCCCGTTTAATTATTGATGATGGCAAAGCCTCAACTAATGTATGAAAAAATAGATACTTTGTCCACTAAAAAGGCATGCATCATTTTGAGTTTAAAGGAAATGTGAAGAGTGAAGATACAGGAATAAAGAATATATGTAATAATTGCCTTCTAGTTAATGTTTGTATACTGTGATGAAGAATATGTAATTTTTTTATGTTTAGAATTTATATCGTTATTTGTTTTTTGGATTGTTCATAAGTCAGTTATGGCACCGCCTCCCGATCTGAGATCTTATTAGGCTTGATTAAAGAGAAAGGTGTCAAAATAGTTATTCGAAAAATTTATTTGGCATATGTCACCCATATTTCACGGATATTTATTAATTTGATCTAATTTATATTTGATAAAATATATACAATATAATTTATACGGACATTATTATAAAAACATTAATTTATTTTAATTTTGATCATTACTCTGTTCATATTTTTACATTATATACTTAAAGTTTTTAATAAAAAAGCATCTGATTCTATGACAAACCTCTAATTATTTTCTATTTTTTTCTGAGTTACGTTCTTTACGAGAAAAGAAAAATTGGGGATAACAAGTATTTAGGCAATCATTTTGTTTACAATACTAAACTTATTAATATTAGAAGATATAAATTGCAGTATTTCTTTAAGTTAGCAACTGTTTTAAATAAGCTAAATTTAAATTTAATTATTTTAGGCCCAAACCCAGCCTAAGCCTACTTAAAAAAAATTAATAACCCAGGCCCGCTAGAATATAAAATTAGGCCTATGGGCCGGCCCAGTTTATGAAAGTCTCTGTCAAGAGGAGCAGTATTTAACGCTGTGATATTTAATCAAGCCAGTAAATAGATAAAATATATAAAAAATTCAACCATGTAATAAAGAGTTTGTTCTTGAGATGAACCGAGTGGTTCGAAAAACGAATACGAATGTAAAACAGGAGAAAAGAGCCAACACAATCTTCAAGGGCGCATAAACTGCTATAGAAGTTTATAAAGTTTATATGACTTATTGCTCCGGAGAAATGTAGCAATTTGAAATTAAGTTGATAAATTCTAAAAATCATTATATTTTTTAACGTGCATTATAATTTTATATTAAAGAATTTATTAAATGGCATAACATGTAATGAATAAAAAAAATCAAAAATTTATTTCTACGCATCGATAACATGTTATTTATCACTATTCTTGTCAAGGAATAATATAAAAGAAAAAAAAACTAAGAAGGAAATTTAGAAATAGAAAAAAATGAAGGAATTCTAAAATTAAATTGATAAATGAAAGAAAAATACGCAAAAAATATAAATAAAATGATAAAAAGTAATGTTAGGAGTTAAATAAACTCTTCCATTCGTGCTTAGAGAGAAATTTGCTGTAGGGAAGGTAGTAGTGGGGGGGGGGATTTATTTTTATAGAATTTTCCTATCTTTAATATAAATTCTTTATGAAAAAAAAGAAAGATTTAATAACTTTATTTTTAAAGAAAATATATAGGAAAATGGATTATTTTTTTTTGAAATTCATAGTATCAAATTTAGAAATTAATTAAATTGAGAAATTAATTAAGTTAAAAAGTTAATTAAGTTACACAATTAATTGACTATATTATGAATGTGTTACAAATAATAAAATATATCTCCTTTTTATGAAAACTAAATATTTTCCATATAAAAATTTGAATATGTAATACAGACGATTTACAATTTTTAACTAATTTATTCAAAAAAAAATATTTACATAATAAAATAAAAATATGAAATCTCGAACTACAAAAATTAAATGAATTCAAAAAAAAACTACCACACAAGACATATTTGCATAAAAAAAACCAAAATGTTTAATTACTTTATTTAAAATAAAAATAAAATAAAATCTTATGTAAAAAACCTTCCCTTCAGACTTCATATCCGTATTCGGCCTAATTCTCCAGCGGGTTTTTCCGTTGATTGAATGGGCAGTATCTGTTTATTACCCACTAGGGAATGATTGTTTCCGCAACTCCAATATCTAACACAGTTTCATTTTCAATACCACTTCTAGTAATTATTTTTCTACATCTTTTTTCATTTTTAATAAAAATCTCTAGTTATTATTATTTTGCTATTCTCCCAAAATTTTGTTTTTTTAATTAAAAACAATCAAATTCTATGATTTTGCTATCATTACAAAATTTAGTTTTTCAATAAAAACCTCGAATTCCTTTAATATATGGTAAAATGGCAAATAAAGGTGTAATAAATTGTATAGAAAAAAATTATTAATCTAAAAACGCTTTTAAAAAAAGAATATAATTCTATAGTATGTGGCAAAAGCTATTAAAATGTTAAAAAGAAACGCTATGACTGGATAGAAACGCTATGACTGGATAATTCTCTGTTCACCAGTTAGCGCGAAATCACGATGGAGAATACAAAATACTCAATGCGACCTGCCAAGTCCGGGCCCCCCCCCAATATGTCTGTTATCCGTTATATACTTAATAATATAATATTTAAGTCCACGTCATTGCCATTGGCTCGACTATTTATTTTTTAAGAACGATGGGATGTAAATTAATTCAAATAAATGTTAATATTGATTGAGAGTATTTCAGCAATATTATTAAATTTCATTTAGCGAATAATTGTGCTATAAAGTGTATTATATTTTTTAAATGCAATATCGTTCTCTTTTAATCCCTATGATGTTCTAACAAACTTAAACCCAAGACCACCTTTGAAAAATTATTACAAACTGTAGTGTTATTACATAATATCAATTATTTTTTGATTGCCTAACATAATCATTATCGATAAATTGTCGCTAGTTTCATATTCAAATTAGTTTTATATTCTTTAAGGTTAAAATCTTAAATTTAAAATTAACGAAATCGAGATGTTTAACAACCCTAATCCGAGATTTGGAAAAAAGATTCAGGTCACACATTTTTTTGGGTTCCCATTTTTAAATCGAACTGATAGCCATATGTATCTGTTTGATTCAATGTTCGGAAAACAGAATAGAAAAGAACCTGAAACCCTAGGAACTTTGTTTAAGAACGGACCGGAATTAAAATTCCTACAAATTTTTGGGGGATCGGAAATTGAAGCATTTTTAAAAAAAATATTTGATGCCGGAACTCTTTTTAGTAGGTTCGGATTTGGGTTCAATTTTAACATGTGGACCATCATATCTTTTATTAAATATAAAATTTTGCCTGGTGCCACAAAGGCACAAATTTATGTGGTAGAGTAATTATATTTATTAAAAAAAATGGTAGTAATTTATGAGTAATAAGTTAGCTAAGAGAGACCGGAGCTATCTGGCGGGTAGGGCAAAAAGGTAAACGTCTATAACGTTTTCATCTTTAGGGCTAATTGTGTCTAATTTGGTCAAAAGATGTTTTTAGATACATACTATCTACCATATGTTCATTTAGTAACAGGAGCCCCTTACTCAATAAATTAAATCAAATTATAGCCCTTTTTCAACAACTTTTCTTTATTTTTTACCTTAAAAACTTCAAAGTTTATCAATTTTATATGCCATATTGTTCGATGTCTAGGCTACGGATTAAACTTAATCCGAAGTTTTAGAGACATTTAAGTTAACTCATCAGAGGGTAAAATGCCAAATAAAAGTGCATTAAATTGCGTAGAAAAAAATTATTAAAATCTAAAACGATATAAAAGAAAAGAAGATTGTAATTGTGAAATGTGCGACAAAAGTTATAAACATAGTTTAAAAAAAGCAAGAAGACGATAACCCTGTATTTACCAGTTATCACGAATTCGAGTCGAAGTATAGAGTTAACTGTAAGTGCAAGGTAACCCCTCACTCACAGTTAACGGGAAATCACGGTGGAGAATACAAAATACTCGCCGCGAGAGGCAAAGCACCCCCCCCCCTATATCTCTGTTACCGGTTACATACTTAATAATATAATATTCAGGTCTGACATGCATAGCCATTGACTGAAGGTATGTAATTCAATTCAAATAATTGTTAATAAAGATAGAGAGTATTTCAGCAATATTATTAAATTTTTTTAGAGAATAATTGTGTTATAAATGTGTAAAATATTTTTTAAATGCAATATCGTTATCCCATAGTCCGTATGTTGTTCTAACTGACTTAAAACTGAAAAATTCACAAACTCTAGTATTATTCCATGATATCAACTATTTTTAAATTGCTTTTAGTTATAAAATAAATCATTATCGATAAATTGTCTTTAGTTTCATATTCAAATTAATTTCATATTCTTTAATATGGTATATGTAATAATTGTTTGCGACTATATTTATATATATTAAAAAACTTTATTTTATTATATATATCATCACCATTACTTATAGTTGTACTTGCATTTAAATAATTAAATCTAAACTTATCATTAATATTACCTATTGCAACGCCACTAATGGCCTAGATTCCCTACATAAATTTATATAATGAATCTAATATGCGTAGTCAGGGAGAGGGGGCAAGGAGAACCCCCCCCCCTCCAAAAATTTGCTTGTTCTCGTTATTATCCTTTTTATACAATATATCACTTTAAACAAGAATCTGAAAGAAAAATATTTTTTTTAATAATTTTTTAAATAAAAAATATTTTATATTAAAAAAAAGTGAAAACCCAAATAATTTTATAAAAAATTTAATATCAAAAGGAATATATGGGTGAAACTCTCACCTAATAGTACACCCCTTGCCTTAACAAAATCCCAGCAACGCTTATGAATTTTGATTTTGAAAAATTAATAACTAACTTATTTCTCTTTCAAATTATTGTTTGTAATGATATATTGTATATATTTATAGGGGAGAGATACAAAAATTATAGGAAAAAAGTATATGGGCACCGAGTTAAACATCTAAATTTTCTCGAAAGGTTTCTGAATCTTTATTAAATTTAATCCCAATTTATGATAAATAATTATGATATATAAAAATAGAATAAATTTATTATAATAAAACCCTTTAATTAACAATCAATTGATTATAATTTTACTATTAAAATAAATAAAATATTTTTAAATCTTTATTAAATTAAATTCAAATTACATAAATATGTTTGATTAATGATTATTGATATATAAAGATAAAAATAAATAAATTTTTTAATAAATTCCTTTAAAAATCAAGCGATTTATATTATTAATAAAATAAATCTAAAAAAAAATTAGGTAAAAATCTATGAAACATATCTTGTTTTCTTAATTGAAAGATTATATTTGGACCTATCAACAAGTACTTTTCCGAATTTTGAGCATCGAAGGGAAACGATCTATGGACAGAACATTGGAATCCTAATATGTGTATTTGGACAAATAAATAATCAAATTTTTTTTAATTTTTTAAAAATTATAGTATGGAATCCTAATATGTGTATTTGGACAATTAAATAATCAAATTTTTGGTAATTTTTTAAAAATTATAGTAGAAAGTTTAAATATTTAAGAAAAATTCAAATTACAATAAAATGGGTTATGTTTTTTTTAAAAAAATTCTATTTTCTTACCTGATTTAATAGATTCCTTTATTATTTCGGCTTTTTTTTTAAGTCTAATATTAAGCATATCATTTCTGGGCGCAGTTACAGTCAACTGTATCGAATGATTTGTCAGGGCTTGCGTCAATAATTCAGGTTTAGATTGTTTTAACAGCTCTATAAACCGATCTATCTTAGGAAATTCGGTATTGATGTAATCCAAAGCGCTATCCAAATCAGAAAAAGATTTTCCGATTAAGGGCTATAGAAAATGGTGTGATAAGATGTGGTCAAAATATATCATATAAGATAGATATATTTACTATTGTTAAATTCGTCATAAATAACGACTAGTAATTATGACTAATCTTTGAGTAGAGAAGCAATTAAAAAATGGGAGATGGACGGTTATCACCTTCCGATAATGAAACCCATATCAATTTATTAACCGCTACAATGAATATAGGTTGGATACCGATTCTGGATCCTTTATCACTATATATCAGAAAAGAAAAAAAATTACAAATAGGAAGCAAACTTAAATCTAGGCGGTACAGAAGACATGTATTATATTAGGATTTAAAACTTTAGTTAAAAATTTTTTTAATTCACCTTGTCTATTATGGAATATATCCCGCGGCTAAATTGATAAAGACCAGGAAGGTTTGCGCATTGAACAGATTTCAAAGATTGAAAAAGCTAAATTAATAATTAGGTTCCATATAAATTAAATGTTATATACTGTAGCTTCCATGTGATATTCCAGACCTGACAACGATAAAAGTGACGTTAAATCTATGGTATGATCCTTTAAAAATTTGATCGCATTTTCTGGATTTTCATAATCATGGCCTAATTTCTTGTATTCCTTTAATAATTATATTGGAAATAATAAAATATTAATTATAATTTTAACAATGGTGGAACTACTGAGACAAATCTAAATAAAATCAAACAACATAATTAGTCTTGAATTGAATCACCAAAAAACAAGGTTTAAATTAAATAAATTTTAGTTAATGACTAAATATTTTGGAATTTTTCAATTACATTCCTCCAATCAATAATAATAATCTTTACAAATTTAGGGATTTTATATTATTAAATAAATATATATCAGTAAAAAATAACGACTTGTCATATATATTTTTTTTGTTGCAAAATGGATGATTTTTATCTGATTTTTTCCCCAAATATTATTATATATCATATCCTAACCCTTTGCTTTAATTTATTTTATATTAAAAAAATCGTATCAATTTTTTTTGGTACTCATTTCATTTGGTAGGCAAAATTTTAATTTTTGACAATTTTTACGTTTACACCATATTGCCTCCCCACCCCCCCCCCCCGCCGCATAATTACTTTAGGGCTGGTCCTATTATATTTAATTAATATAAAGCAATAAAACGCTCGATAATGAGAGTTTTTAAAGGAGTGATTAATCTTACTTTCGACAATAGTGGTATACGTTTAGAGATTTCAATTTTTTACCCAATCTATTAATTAGAATTAGAACACTGTATGCGTCCAAGCTTAAGGCCGATCCAAGTTCGATCTAACTCAAATCGATCAGAGGACCGACATTCACTCGGGTTTATTAATTGGAAAGAATTTGGACAAAAGTCTATAGAATCACTGGATAAAAATTTTATTTTATTTATAAACATTCTCTTCTAGAAAAATATCAAAAAATGTTATCTCTGACACCACTGGCTCAACTTGGAAAATTAGGTCCCATTAGAAATGGAAATTTTCCGGAATAATACAATTAGGGAAAAACTGAGAAATAGAAATTATAAGAGAATTCTAAGACTTATTCACAAATTATCAAATAAAACGATAATAGCACCATAATTTAAATCTTGTTTTATTTGTTAAAAATGTTACAAACATCAAAAATTTATAAATATAAATTTATTATGCAACAATATTATTATCGATAGTTTTAATTAAGTAGTATGACCTTCACTTGATAAAGTAGAATTAATATCTTGCCTTAAATTAATTCTCTAGCCTATATATAAGCTAAGGTCTTATCATTTGGCTTTTTAGAAGAAGCTTAACTCCCTCTACCAATACATTTCTATATATGATTTAATTTATAAATACAAATAAGTATATATATAACATTGTTCCAGAGAAATTAACATTTCTCCTTCAAGATAACTAGGAAATATACCATATCTTTTGCATGTGCTTCCATTGAATTGGGAATGTCAATATATACATTTCGCCCTCTTTTTATTTATTTATGGCGCTTTACTTTAAGGGTATGAGTCTAGAGGTTTAATTTACTTCTAAGTAGTGAAATTTACTAAGCAAATCTTAATTAATTCACTTTTCAAAATGATTTAATTATAATCAATGTTGTTTTGATAAATATATATAGCTATTTGATAAGCCATGTGATAATAAATATGACTTAATAAATACACTACAGTGTATACAGAATTTGGCTTCATATTAAATATATAATAGGGAATCCCGGGAACTTTTGTGCATCTCCGAGAAAATAGTTTTGCCTTTACATCTCTAGGTCCCATGAATTAAAATTGTTAAAATGGAATTAATTAATCATTTTATAGGTTGTATTCTCTATATATATATTTATTTATTCTGTTTAATAATTTAATTTAAATAAATCACTTCAAAAACAGAATCCTGAGGTATTAGAACTAACAATCGGCTATGGTTGACTTTAGAGAGATAATCGGTATTCAATAAAATGCGTTTAAAAGTTTCTATATCAGGAATATCTCTTTGGTCCAAGATTTTATCGAGTGATAAATCTATAAGATTTTGGATATTGAATTTATAAGAAATGCAATAATAAAATTTAATCTCTCTCTATAGAATATTTAATTTTAATAGGGATCTAGTTTTTATTTGATGAGATATTCACGATGATACTTAAATGACGAAATACCTAATAACCAGAATTTGGAAATTTGATTTCCATTCTGAAAATATTTTATGCATGAAAATTACAGAAAATTTCTTAGAAAATATTTTGGTATTTTTATTTAAAAATTTGATTTTAAAAAAATCTTTCTTCGAAAAATAAAAAGATTTTTTTCTCAAAATTATATTTTTCAAACTCTGCCGATAATAATTATATAATATTTTGAAATATATAAGTTTTATTTTAAAAGAAATATAACTGAATGGACTCACATTCTGACGGAGTTTGAATATTTTTATCGTTTACGATTTGAATTATTCCATCGGTAGCTATAATGGTTTTGGAAACATTAAATCCATAAACGTTGCATTCACAAGAAAGACTATTTGCTACTAATTTCTTGAGGAAATCTATTTTTATTAATAGTAAATCAAAAGGAAAAATCAATAGTTAGATTATTTAAAAAAAAATTAAATGGGGTTTTGCCATTTATAAAAGGCTGATGAATGTTGGAAATTATGAAAATTATATGTGGAAATTATATGTCTGGAATGGGAAAAGTAAATAAATTTAGGAATAGAATTAGGAAGGTAAAAACATTTAACAAATAAAATAAAATGACTATAGCTAGATAGGACAAAAATGTGCTATAAACTATCTGAAATAAAAAACTCAATGATGAAGGTAATAGGAAGTTAAAAAATAGTCTAAGTTATTATTTCATATTTTAAATGAATGATCATGGAGATTAATTCATATTTTAACTCTAGTTCTATGTAATTTATATTGTTGTATTGCGATTGACATTTATGGATGGTTGTAATATGTATTCAAGGTAAAAAGTAATATCATTTTTGTTTTTGTTACATTTCAATTATTTTTTCATTTGTTTATATTTTTTTTCCGGTCATAGGTTACTTTATTTGAATATTTACTGATATATTATATCGTGATTATTTTCCCCTTTATTAAAAATATCATGTTTTATTCTGTATACATTTATTTTACACATGAAAATTATTTCTAATGTTAAATAAGTTGAGATGAGATATAATAATTTTAAAAAAAGAAAATAGAAAATAGAAAGCCAACCAACAATTTTGATGTCAATACATATCCAAGTTATATAATATATGATTTTAAAGTATAAAAGAAAAGGTTAAGGAGAATCTATTAATTATATAATAGAAAATATATAGAAAATATAGAAAAAGAGAAGGAGAAATAATTTTAGAAAAGTAACACAAGACTATTTTCTTAACCCTGGAATACATCTGAATTAGAATACTTTGCTTGTAAAAATTATGAATGATAAAATCTTAAGATTTTTATTCATCACTTTGAGACACCCTATACGGTCATATCAGAGATATTCAAGGAAAACATTCCAAATCTATTAGAAATATTTACTAGATTTGCCTAACCAAATTGAGGCATAAGACCTCAATAATCTGCGGGCAGACAATACAAAAAAAGCATCTTAGGATACACCAAGTATCATGCTGCCATGAATGCGATTTTTATAATTAAATTTTATTTTACATGGAAATATATATATTTAGTATGTTTTTTTACAATAAAAATTTTTCGAAAAGCTCAATTCTTTCCAAAGTTATTTAAAATTTTATATCATGGCAATTTTTAAGATAGAGAAGTGGCCCGTACATAAGATTACTAGTGCAGGTTAATTCTGAAATAAATATAGATTATTTTTAATACACTCCCCTCTCAAAAAATGAAATGAACATAATTTAAAAAATGGTTTGTTTTTCGATTTATACTTTCTAATTTTTTTTAAAAAAAATTCTAGGTTATTTTATGATTAGAAAGCTATATTTGATTTCTCTACCAGTTGCCTGTTTATCGTTTTGATCCAATATATCCAAAAGGTCTTTATCCAAATTCGATATTGCTTCATTAGTTAGCGCGGTAACAGTATGCGAATTTCCTTTCAAGGAGCCAATAAGATTTGCGGATATAAAATCTATAAATATTTTTATATAAATTTTGATAAAATATAAATTGATGATTTTATTACTATATATTCAAAAAAAAGTATTATACAAGTATATAAACAAATTCTCATTTCGATTAAATTCTTATGTTGGTCACAAATTTAAAGCAAAACAGCCTATTTTGCGTGTCTACCTATTTACCAATGTTGTTAAAAAATAATTTTTAAATGAATCTAGATACAAATACATCGTCTAAAATAATATCTAGATACCGATATTTTAATCAAATATCTATCTAGATACAGATGATACCACATTTTTATATATAGATACAGGATCTAGCTATTGTTATCTAGATCCTTTAACAACTCTGCTATTTACAAAATAAAATTTCCTTAGACGTGACTTTCTAAATTTTGGGTGCGTCCGAAGCTTTAAAACTTTAACTCCGAATTCTGTTTACTAAAAATATTTCAAAAATGTGTTTAAGAAAAATTTCTATGAAATTTTGTATTTAATACAAATTTACAAGAAGGTAATCATTAATAAATTTATTTAGACAGACAAAGTAAGGAACTTATTTTCGGAAATAATTTGTGTAGAGACACGTTTCCTCAAATTTTTTATTATTTCGTCGAATATCAAATTTCGCAAGTTTTTTAGCCACCTTATTAATCTACACAATGCCCAATTCGAATTTAAATTATACCCAACTATTCTTAGAACTACTTTTAAATATTTTAAAATGTTGCGTAAAAAAAATGCATAATTTTACATTTCAACGATTCTGATAACTCCTTATTATCTGACAATAACTCGATAATTGTTTTTTGGACTGTCGGAACAATTGAATTTACAGTGTGGATAACTCCGTTAGCAGAGAAGATGTTAGCATCATTCAATTTAACACAATTCACGCGCTTGATTCAAATAATAGTTGAACAAAAAATAAATAAATGAATCCATAATGTGCAATAATATCGTGAATAAAATATTTAAATCGGGATAAAAATTACATCTTTGGTTAAATAAAATACGTTGTCGGGTGTTTTGTAAACCAGGTCGCCAAACACTTCCTTCCTGAATACCTGATTTGGTATTAAATGAGATGAAATATCTGGAGTCTCTTTACCATCGCCATTAGTGTCCTTCTTATTTATACAAATTAAATTTATAATAGACGGGATAGGATTGTAGCATTTTTAAAAAAAAATTCTTTCTTAGCTATTTAAAGCATTCGTACATCAATTCTGTATTCAGAATTTATTTTATATATTTATTTTTTCCTTTTATTCATTTTATTGTGTTTATTTACATTGCATAATGAAAAACATTTCCATATTTTTTTAAAGCTTGCAAATAAAATTATTTAACTTACAAAAATTCACAAAAAATATCAGAGACCTATCGAGGTTTTACACGATTTTTTTAAAAAAAAATGCCGGCCCATATTTTTTTAAAATATATTAAATTTATAATAATGGCGACTTTGAAATATTTGACTTCAAAATATTGGACTTGCCCGGCCTGGGAATTTTTAAAAAAATTCTGGCCGAGCTGAGCCGGGCGTGCAGGTTTCTGATAAATACATGTAAGTAACAATTTATAAAAACTTACCAATGGAACAAAAAGGGTGAAATTATGCAGGCTTTCTGGCAAGTCCCTCATTTGATGGACACCTTCTCCTAATTCATCAAAAACTTCTTCAGTCGATTTAAAATCTTGGGCTTCATAAATTAAATTTAAATATTAGGATGAGTAGCTAAAACTTGTCTACACATTTTTTAAATATTAAATTTATAAATCGGTCATAACCAAAAACAGTTTAATCCGTTTTTCAACTTGTGCGGAAATTAAAATGAGAGAAGTGATAAAACAATAGAAATGAAAAATTTACAAAAAAATCACTTTTGATAAAAAAAATTAAATAATCGATGATTTTTAAATATTTACTAAATCACTATTTTTTTTTAATTTGTATTCAGATTTAAATATTTTTGAATAAATTATTATTACGCCAATATTAAAAAAAAAGAAGAAAATTTGTAATAATATAATTATGAATATAAAAAAAACCCGTTATTATTTTAAAAAAAAATTTTTTTAAATGATAAAATTATATTTAAAATTTAAGTAGTATTTTTTTTTATAGACTAGAATTTAAATTAATTAGATAAACCAGGGTTCACGTCCGATCCCGAAACTCCAGACTGAGGTTTGGGGCGATTAACTTTTCAACAATAGCATTAATCTACTAGGTACGTCGAAATTTGATTATTCTTAATGCATTAAAATATATTTGTCCTAACTAGACTAATCATTTTTTCAAAATTTTTACCGGTAAAACTTTATTCCTATATTTACAAAATAAAAGTACTGTTCGGTCGATAGTTGGGGTTTTACTAGTAATTTTTATTTATACCGGATATAGACCTAACTAAATAGAACCCGGTCTGGGCTAGGTCTTGGATGCGTGGGCCTTAATTTATATTTATCTATAATCTACATGAATAGGTTTTCTTAGCATCGAAATATTGTAGTAAAAGCAATAAAAATAAGGGCAGATTAAAATAATTATAGGGATCCTTTAATATCTCCTTATATTTAAACAAATTTTAAGTGATCTTTCAATATGAGCCTATTATATCAAAAAAAATATTTCAGGATTGTCATTTTTCCTAACGATACCAATGGAAAGTGCTCTAATTGGCCAATCTATGAGAAGAATATCCTTATTGATATCGAAATAAAAATCAAATATTATTAATTTTACCTAGGCATTTCCCATTTATCCTTTTAAAACCTATACAGCATTGTTTAATCGTTGTGGTTTTGTAGATCAATTGGTTATCACCGGTTGAATTGCTTAAAAACGAATCAAATAGATTGGTTTAAATTTAATTAAGCCGACATTAAGGAGAATATCATTTAAGATTTGAGAAAAATAACCGAAACCTTACCTTATATGATCACTGAAATAAAGTTTTTAAATAAAAAAAAATTTTAAATTATGATTAAGTTTTTTTATACACAATATTTATACCTATATTCGCATATTGAAACACCACCAAATGTTTTTTCAGACATGCCCACGATAGAATTATTGGCTATTGCCATCATTCTTATCTGTGAATCCCTTTTCCTCTTTCGATTTTTAATTTTTTTAGTTAAGCCTTGCAAGTCACCTCTGGGTTTTGTTCTACTACCGTCTATATCATTCGTTTCGATAGAAGGTTTGAAGATATCTGGTTTGTTTTCCGTATCTAATTGAATCGGTTCTGATGTGATCTGAGTCAGGCAAACATTTTCTCTTTTTTTATAGTGTTTAATTTTATTTATTTAGATTTCCTTTTAAAATTATTGTGTATATATATCATATTATTAGTGTGACTACGACTTGTAGGGTAAGAAAAATTCATAAATTTGAAAAAACTTTAATGTATGTTAAAAGGAATTGGATAAGGTGCCTATGAATTTGTCTAACTTGCCACCGTTTGGAGCGTTTTAAAGTGGCAATAACTATTGGACCCCCCCCCCCTTCACACAAATAAATAGAAATCTATAAATTATATAATCAAAGATTTATGTTTGTTTGATATTTACATATTTTTAAAAATAATAATAACCATGAAAAAATCAAAAATACCTAAGTAGAATTTATTATAGGGGAGACCCGGTCGAAGGCCGAGTAAATGGAGGTTTTGAATATAAAAAATACAGTAGTTCCAATATTTTTAATATACCAACTGCCAAATTCTACTGTATAAACTAAGATAGTTTGAAAATACTCTTAATATATTGTGAAAGTTTGAACGCAATTCTATCAATAATAACATCGATTTTATATGGATAATTTACCCTGGAAATTGGCATTCAAATCCATAAGAACGATGGTCAAGGAATAAGAAAGCTAAGATAAAACTCATCAAAGTGAACGCGTAAGTCATCATTTGTATGATATTTATATTTTAATTAAAATATAGTTTTTATTAGAATAAAATTTTTGTAAAAATTAAGACGAGAAAATAATATTTTACTTTTGTATATTAAAAATGTTAACACCAACAATATTCATAATAATATTATTCAAAAATGGTATCGCAAATACGAAGTGAGTAATTAAATAAACAAAAAAAAAGTTGTTTTTTTCCTTTTTCGTTCCAACCTTTTAGCTAACTATATTTTAGAGAAAATACAAGAGTAAACAAAAATATAATTTTCTTTCTTTTTTTTTATATTCATTTTCATATATAATTATAAACCTATCTATCTAGTGGAGTAGGTATTAATCATTTATGATATGAGTAATATGATAAATATTTTACTAATTATATTGCGCTATCCCCAAGTTTTGTCGATTTTTTAAAAAGGATTAGCCCCATATTTTAAGCAAAAAAAAATTACGCTAGCCTGAAAATTTTGCTCGCGGGGCTTGCATTATTTATGCCTAACATATTAAGGTCTAATTTCTATTTTATTCGAAATCGAGTTGATTTGTTTTATTGTATTTTAGGATTTCCATTTAGTTAAAAATCTTCCAAAATAATTCTTAAATAATGAATGTTACAATGGCTTAGGGCTCTTTTCCTTTTAGGTGTGCATTTTTTTAGTGGTTTTTGGGGCATTCTCAAATAAAAGTATTTTGGCAAATGACCCAGTGAAGAAAGTCAATCAAAATTTGTTTTTTTTTCTATTAAAAAATATATTATAAAAACTGCCTTGTATTTTGTTGAATTCGCCAAGGGTTATTGTGTACAACGGAGGAAACTATAAAATTTTCCCTTCCCGTGCCAAAATTTTTGATCCTCCTTTATCCCTAAAAAAAAATAACCTATGTCATTGTAAACATTGATTTATAAAAAATAAATATAAATTAAATAGAATATGACTGTCAAATGGCTCCGCCTTCAATAAAATCTATTAGGAGGGTAGTAAATGTTTCTTTCAGCAGCTGATTTAAGTTTAGCAGACTGGGAATTAACAAATTATTATTTCGCCCTTATTTTCGCAAATACAGTAAAACAGTTGTTATATGTAGATGCCAATTTCTGAGATAGTATAAATTAGTCTCATTAAGTCGTCGCTGGTGGAATATCTTCAATTCCGGAAATATGAAATTTAAAAAATTTATATATCAATTATAATACAAATAATGACTGACTAACTTAAATAAACTGAGGTGGCGGGCATTACAATTCTTAATTATTAAAATATTCTTAATATTTTGTTAAATAACCTTTTCCTAGTTAGTTTAATTTTCAATTTAGTTTTTGCGATGTAGATGAAACAGAAATGAAAATGTTGAAATGATGTTGGGTAAATCTAAAAAGGACCATGTAAGGAACAAAGTTATTATGGATAGTTAATAATTACTTCCAATAAATGCTAAGATTAAACGAAAGTAGGTTACATTATAGGTTTGGTCATTTATAAAGGAGGGAGGTGAGATTGTTGAAAAGGAAAAGGCGATGCTAGAAGTTAAAGGGGAAATAAACGTAGAAAAAAAATTATGTAAATAAAAATGGAAGGATCTGTTAAGCTCCTTAACAGATGATTTGGTGTACAAGAGGTCAGGAATTAAGGGAGCCGAAAGAACTCTAACCTTTACTTTTTTTTAAACAAATTTAAATCATATATTTTCTTAATCGCGTTTATTTTTATTTTAAAAGTCTTCATTATAGTATTCCAGCATTATATAAAATACCCCTACCCTTTGAATTTTAAACAATTTTGCCAGAAGCTTTTGCATATTTTTTAATTTTTATAAAATATCTACGAGATTCTAGTAATTATATATAAAATTATATCTTGGGTTCAGAGGTTAAGATTTGTATTATTGTTCTCCGTGTATCGGGTTCAAGTATAAACTAGTAATTGTGTTAAACGCCTTGATTTATCCTATTTTCATAAACGGCTTTTTTTATCAGAAGTAAATACCTAAGACTTAGAGAATTTGCCCAAGTATTAGATAGGTTTGGAAATTAATTGGCTAAATTTCGAGGCTTAAATGATAATTTTGGCTAAAATCTGGATTTAACTGTATTTCAAATAACAACATTACAAATTGACATTTATTTTACAGGGAAATTTTTTTTTGTTGAAACGAATTTGATATTAGACATTGAGTTTCACTATTGAAACAAATCTGATAACTTAGAGATGCGAATCCGTGTAAATCAGCAATGAATATATATATCATGGCATCTAAATAGCCCGAGATTAACTCTATTTTATTTTAACAATAAGATTGTATTTCTTATTTATGAGAACTTATCTAATTTGTCCATTAAATTCGTATACTGGAGATAATAAAAGGGAAACAAATACTAAATGCTGTTCTTATTGTTTTTATTCTTTGTAACATTGAATTAAATTGTATTGCTAAAGAAAATAAGTTTAAAAAATAAACGATAATAGAAAAGATAATCAAATGAATTAGGTCCGGTCTGGTGCGATAAAGAGATATACTAATTTTTATTTCTTTCTAAATTTAATATAATAACCATTTGTTTGATCATTTAATGAAATTAAAAATTTTATTCAATAAATTTTATATTTTAATATTTTCCTTATAGCATTTTATAGTTTTGATTAACAAATCAAGATAAGCTTCGAGTGCCTTAAAGACATTTTTTTTTAAATATTTAATTCTCACATTTTTTTTCTTTATTGAAATATTGTGATATTGTGATTATTATAAAACATATTTAATATTTAATTTTTTTTGGGCGTGGGTTTGGAAAATTTTTTAAATACGTTATACGTGATATTAAGCGCCTAGCCCTAAAACGTTATATATATAACAGAGCAACACTTGATTCTCTCATGAAAAAGCCCATCAGACTGGGATAAGTGATGGAAATAAGTAAAAAGAAGTATTTGGATTTTGAACAAATACATTTTGGGAAATATATTATTATGGCGCCATTAAGTTTAGTGCCTAATTGTATATTATTTCAATCCATTTTATAGACAGTATAAAGAAAAAAAGTTAATAGCAAAAATAAAAAAATTGCCAAAATTTGGATCACGCCTCAATAGAAACTATAGAACTTAAAATCTGGGTTGCGCTAATCAAATTATAAACAAAATTTAAAGGATGACGTCACGTATTAAGCGTGAGGTAAGCAAGCTTTTGTAAACACTAACTATGATACTTTTATTAATAAACCATTAAGTAGCGTTTAAGTGGTATATTTTATTTGTTTGTATATATGTGCTGTAGGTATAAGGGGGGGGGGGGGGGAATTGCCAAAGTTGGTATCATGACAGAACGGATGATACAAAAGTTCCAAATATCCTGTTTTACGTTTCATATTTAATACCTTCGCCTTACTTATTAATTCTTCAATCAATTTCGCCAACCACAAATATTTTGTATGCAGATTTATCTGTCAGTGAGGCTTAACGGGAAACTAGTCTTCTCTCCGCTAAACAAATCATCTGATATATTTGGGATTATCTTGTAAATTTGACGTGAGGAATGATTTCTTAAGCATGCTACTGAAAAAAAATTTATTTATTCCAAAAATTTACCAATCTACTAAAAAAAATGTAATTTATAAATTTTAATTCCACGAAAAAAAAAGTTTCTGTTCCACTGAAAACAAAAAGTAAACAAAATGCTTTTAATTAACCATCACTCTTTGAGAGCCAGATGGCTCCTTATAAATTCCTATTAAAATTATTTTATAAATTATATTTTTTATCATTTTTATTTTTCCATATTTTTTTTCCCATTTCAAGTTTAGAAAAAGAAAATTTTATTAAAAGTTAATTTTGCCTTCATATAAAATTTTTATTCGAAGTAACATTATAATTTTTAGTAAATGTTTTATATAATTGAGGTACCATTTGTATGGCCCTGCCCGGATTTTTTTAAAAAAATTATATTTATTTTTAATTTTTACCGCTAATGATAGCTATTTAAAATATTCAATTTTAAAATAAACGGCTCAGCCTTGGTATTTTAACGAAAAATTTTGTAGGCCGTGTCCCCGGATATTTTTAAAAAAATTAAAAAACTGCCCGGCCCATGTACCCGGGCTTAGGTCCGGGCCAGCCTGTAGGTCTCTGATTATTATTGTCGAATAGCATTTTTCCCGTTCCTATTTATAATGTATTTATTTTAAAAAAACCTTTTAAAACATTTACTCCATTTTTACCTTTAAAAGTTTTACTAAACATTCGCTCTCTAACACTTCAGGTTAAAAAATCATATAATGTCATGAAGCAGCCACAAAGTATAGAATTTAGAAACCGGAAAAAATGCAATTTTATTTTTTGCTGAAACGAATTCCAAAACTGATAACTTTTTTATAGAATTAGACAGTAATGTTATTAGTTTATTTTTAAAAAATGTATACGTATATCAGAGGGACCAGAAAATATTTTTTTTTATACCTGAGCCGGGATTTATATTTTAAATTGCTTTAAAAATTAAAAATAAATATAATATAATATATTTAAGAAAATCAGGGCCGGGCCTGAAAACTTCTTTTTATAAAAAATCCGGGCCGGGCCGTGATATTATATTTATATTTAAAATTTGAGTGTTGTTTATAAAATTGTTAATAATGGATTATAAACTCTTGTGAAACATTATTTTAAGCAAACATTTTTTTTTAGAGATTCTTAAATTTATATGGGTCATTATCGAACTATCTTCAAACAAATGATATACTTACTGTATAGTATGGACAGTGGTGTAGTTATTTTCCAAGTTTGTTTAATAAAGAATAATTTAAATCTCCTTAAATTTTAGATCGAGTTATATTTTTAAAAATTTTTTATTAATCATATTAAGAGTTAGCTCTAAGCATGAAGTTTGGCAAACTTTTTAAAACTCTAATTCTAAAGCTTGGGCTAATATCTAATGTTTAAAGAATATACATATATTTCTTTTAAATGTTTTGACCATTGATCAGAATAAATATAAAAATAAATTTAGAAAAATAATAATAAATATTTATAGATATCGAAATTTAGTCAAAAAATCTGATATTATCAAAACTTAATTTTTCAAGTAAATAAAATTCAGTGATCAAATAAATCAT